CCAACAGTACATAAGGATTTTCTTTAGTCTATCTTCTGTAGTACTCATCACCTTTTGTTTTATTAATAGCCATTCTACTTTTTTGTTTGTTTGTTTTGTTTTGTTTCGAGACAGGGTTTCTCTGTGTAGCCCTGGCTATCCTGGAACTCACTCTGTAGACCAGGCTGGCCTCGAACTCTCGCACTCAGAAATCTGCCTGCCTCTGCCTCCCAAGTGCTGGGATTAAAGGCATGCGCCACCACCACCCGGCGCCATTCTACTTTTTAAGTTTTTTTTTTTTTTAAATTACATTTACTTATTTACTTGAAGGTAGAGGAGGGATGTGTCCCACAGCACACATGTGGCAGTCCAAAGCCAACACTTCTCTCCTTCACTGAGGGTAGCAATCAGGGGTCAAACTAGTGTTGTGAGACTTCAGGGCAAGAGTCCTTACACAATAAGCCATCTCTCAGGCCCTGTTTCGTGAGGTGGAGCCGTGGTATGGAATGTGTTTCCCTGGTGATTAGTAATAAAAAGAACAATAAAATAACCCAGGTGTATGATCAAGTGCCTCACAAGGAGAGATGTAGTGTGCTGGGGAGTGGGCGTCTCCTCAGCTAAGTCTTCTGGATGCCTGCTGTGTTTACAACTATCAACCCTGCTGTACTTACAACTATCAACCCTGCTTAGTGTCTTCTGGATGCCTGCTGTGTTTACAACTATCAACCCTGCTGTACTTACAACTATCAACCCTGCTTAGTGTCTTCTGGATGCCTGCTGTGTTTACAACTATCAACCCTGCTTACATTTTCAATTTTTAAAAACAGGGTTTCACTATGTGGGCCATGCTAATTCTGATATCAGTGCTCTTTCTGCCTCAGCCTCCTGAGGGCTCAGATCACAGGCATGCCCACCACACCTGGATGAACCCTGCCTGATCTTTATATCCTGCTATACAATCAATCTGAGATGAACTGTAATTTAAACATGCAAGAAAAAGCAGTTCCTAGAAGAAAATTCCAAAGAATATGTCATGATCTTTTGGGTAGGCAAATTGGTAAAATAGGACACAAAATAAATTAGTCATAATTGAAAAAAAATTATAGATTAGATTAAACATAACTCCTAGGCATCAAAAGCCATTATGAATGATAAATCAAGATATCGGGTGAATATCATTTGGCTGATCAAAAGGTCTGATCTATAATACATTTTTTTTTAATTACTAATTTGGAAAAAAGCAAGTTAAAAAAAAAGGGAGAAAGAGTGGAACAAAACTGTACCAAAAACAGTCTTTAACTAGACAGTAATATTTAAAAGGTGCCTGGCACACTTAGTCATCAGAAAAATTAAACTACAGAGACATAGTACTATAAATCCTCACAATGGCTAAATGAAAAAAGACAAGACTACTAAGTGTGGCCAAAAGTATGGTTGACAGGAATACAAACTGGTACCAAGAGTTTTAAAAAACTGTCATTAATCCAGCAAAACTAAATATCTGTGCACCTTTTCATCCTGACAGTCAAATGATAGGTATACCTTAACAAAAATATACGTGCAACATCAAGCACATAAAAGTATACACAGAGCCCTGCTGTAAAAACACCAAAATAGAACTCGAATCTCCACTTACAGTAATCAGGGAAATTATGACACATACCCAGAATGGAATACTACCCAGCAATAAGAAAATGAACATCGCTATCTACAGGATGGATGTCACAAACAATATTATAAGGAAAAATGTAACAACATATGTACCATTAAATGAGTTCAAAATATGTAAAAATGTTTATGTTAATTCAGTATTATGGACATCTGGATGTTTATGTGTGGGCTGAAGAAATGGCTCAATGGTTAAGAGCGGTCACTGTTCTTTCAGAAGACTGGGGTTCAATTCCCAGAACCCACGTTGCAGCTCAAGCCATGTGCAACTAGTTCCAGGGACCTAACACCCTCTTCTGACCTCCAGGGGCTCTTTCACACAGACAGTACACATACACATACTCTACACACACATATACATGAGATAATGGTTTTGTAAAACTGAACATATATGTGTTGTATATATGTGTGTCGGGGTTCACATTAAGCAGAGTAGTGCTAAAGACTAGTTCAAGAAAGCCCTCCAGCCACATTTCAGTTTTGAACTGAATGGGCCTGGCCACTTTCTGAATACTCATCTCTAATGTGTATACTTTTCTGTGTACACACTATCCTTCACTAAAAGATTTATGGGAAGAGGAATCAATTCCTGGAGAGAATAGGGTTAAGAAATGCAGCTTTTTTTTTTCTTTTTTTCTTTTTTTTTTTTTTCTTTTTTGGTTTTTCGAGACAGGGTTTCTCTGTGTAGCCCTGGCTGTCCTGGAACTAACTCTGTAGACCAGGCTGGCCTCGAACTCAGAAATCCCCTGCCTCTGCCTCCCAAGTGCTGGGATTAAAGGCATGCGCCACCACTGCCCGGCAAGAAATGCAGCTTTTAAAACTAGGTGTGCTAAGCAAGTGTAACTCCAGCAATCAGAAGATAGGGGCAAGGAGACCAGGAATTTAGCTCCAGCTTTGGCTATGTAAGAGACTAGGTAGGTCACCCATGTTTCATGAGTTCCTATTTCAGAATAAACTAACAACAACAAAAACAGAACAGCTCTTACTGGAAGAACAAGAGACTAGAAATGGAACTGACCTAAGTAAGTGTGCTCATTTTTTCTCTTCTGTGTTATCTTTTGGACTGCAGTTCCATTAACCCATTTTTTGGGTTTTTTGGTTGTTTTGTTTTTTTTGTTTGTTTTGTTTTGTTTGAGACAGGGTTCCTCTGTGTAGCCCTGGCTGTCCCGGAACTCACTCTGTAGACCAGGCTGGCCTCGAACTCAGAAATCCGCCTGCCTCTGCCTCCCAAGTGCTGGGATTAAAGGCGTGCACCACCACAGCCCGGCTCCATTAACCCATTGTTTAAAGACAAACCCAAAGGTACTCACATTGAAGACAACGGCCTCAGTCATCTAGGCTTTTTTGTTTGATTTGATTTCTTAGTTTTAATTTTTCCTAAACTCTTAATAAGAAAGAATAAAATAAAAGAAATGGGTTGGCTAGTAATGGATGATCTATTGCTGCCTTATCATTCTAAAAATATTTAAATTCCAGTTCTCAAATATGCTACATCAGGGAATAACCCTCATATATATACATTAAAATTTAAATAGTCTCCTATTTTCCATGCTACTGTATGCTGCAGAATACACACCAAACATGCTACTGGAAACTGGGAGTAGAAACTATAGCTTGAACATATAGTATATTTAAGGTAGAAAATGTATCTTGCACATCAACTGAAGGAATATACTAGAGCAAGGAAAAAAAGCCAGAGATGAGATTAGATTTTGTTCTATTCCTAGTAGCACTGATAACCCAGAAGTAAACAACTTCTCTTTAGTCTGTTAGCTAATCTTACTTTAGTCAAGAAAGATTACGAGAAAAGTTCATCACAATCTGAAACTTTACTATATCTTCCCAATAAACTAAAATGTTGTATCAGTCACTAGTACCTCCCAGAAAAAAATTTTTAAAAACTAGTCAGGGGCTGGAGAGATGGCTCAGAGGTTAAGAGCACTGGGGGTTCTTCCAAAGGACATGGATTCAATTCCCAGCACCTACATGCACCCACGTGGCAGCTCACAGCTGCCTGTATCTTCAGTTCCAGGGCATCTGACACCTTTAAAAGGCACTGGCTTTAGACAGGCCCCACATAAACTTTTAAAAGGTGAAAACTCAATTTTGTCTCTGATTTCTAAAATAATATTCTGTAGAAAACATTAAGAAATGAAAATTAGCTTAAAGTATTGTGGCAATTTAAATGAGAATGGTTCCCTCTATCGGGCTCATATTTGTTTTCCAGTAGTTGACTGTTTTGGAAGGATTAAGAGGTATGACCTTGTTGGAGAAGGTGTGTCTCTGTGTCCTGCTTGTGGGTCAGATGTAAACTCTCAGCTACTGCTCTAGGACCATGCCTACCAGCTCACCTGCTGATAGATATCCTTCCACTCCACTCCCCACCGTGATGATCATGGACTAAGCCTCTAAAACTGTAAGCAAGCCTACAATGAAATACTCTTTATATGTTGCCTTGGTGACAGTGTCTCTTCACAGCAATGGAAAGTAACTAAGGCAAATATGCACTAATATTTTCACATAATTACATACTAAGTAGTGATTATGTTACAATCTATTTTTACCAGCCAGAACAGATTTAGCACCTGCTTATTTAACGATGGACCCAGTGCTAAGCATTTACAGGGCATTTACAAAGAGGATAATTATAGGTGATTTACAGGTTTATGGTTGTAGGGCTTTAGTTTGTTTTGTTGAGACAAGGTCTCTTCTACATAGCCCTGGCTGTCCTCAAACTCACTATATAGACCAGGCTGATCTCAAACTCAGAGATCCACCTGCCTCTGCCTCTCAAGAGCTGGGATCAAAGGTGTATGCTACTACACCTGGTTGATTTATAGGTTTGAAAGCAAAAACCTGGTTATATTAATTTCTCTTAATTCAAGTAAAATCCTTGTCTGAAAAAGGGGAGAAGGGGGGAGACACAGAATCTTAAGTATTTCATTACCTGACTTTTAAGTAGAATAAAGAGCAAAATTGGAGACTGGAGTGAGGACTCGGCGGTTAAGAGCACTGGCTGCTCTTCCAGAGGACCTGGGTTCAATTCCCAGCATCCAGGAAGCTCACCACTGTCTGAAACTCCAGCTCCAATTCTGACATCTTCACATGGATACACATGCAGGCAAAATGCCAATGTACATAAAAATAACAGTAAGATAAATAATTAATTTTTTTAAAAAAGGAGAAATGGAAATTTAAACTTGTAAATTCACACCAAGAAATTAACTCTCAAACAGTTTCACTGGACTCTTTCACTTTACGTCAAACCTACAGTAAAATCAAGAGGAAAAACACAAGTCTATCTAAAATGTATAATCAAAAGCTATTTTTAAACAAAACTAAAAACCTCTTACCTGAGCATGAAAATTGGACATAGTTGTTGTTTCTATATCTTTCTTTCCCAGTATCTCCATTTTCACTGGTGAATTGGGGAAATTATAAGAAAAGTAGTCTAAAAAGTCAGGTAAGTAAGTAGCTGCCCCATGAACAATGCCCATTACATAGAAAGCTGCGGAGCTTTCATTCTCACTGAACACTAAACCCACAAATTCTTCTGCGAATCTCTGCACCTCCATAGGGGACAGGCCGGAGAGCTCGTCACTGTAGGCGTGGATGACGGATGCACCCCCGTTCGGCTGGTGCTCAACGTGAATGAGCTGCCTGAACTCCAAAGTGTCCAACCTCCTGAGGCCGCTCTCAACTCGCGGCTCCTTTAAGGACACAGATGGAAAGTCAGTGTTATCAGGAACTTCTGAATCACAGTTTTTGGTATCCATATGTTTTCCAATGCAATCCTTGACGTTGTCATTTAAGACGCCTTTGGCTTCCTGATCTTCAGTAGACAGCAGTCCTGAACAGATGGTCTGAATAGATTTGCTATACATTTTTGGACGCTTCCGCTTTTCATTCTCTTTGTGTTTCTTTTTCTTTTTCTTCTTTACTTTTTTAATTTGTAAGTCTTCTATATTTGTTTTTGGTTTCTCCTTCCCACCTGTTGGAAAAAAAATTTTTTGAAATGCCATATTTTACTTACTTAAAAAAAGAAACATGTTTTTAGGAGCTGTTCTATAGTACATAAGTTTACTTGTGACAATTCTGAAAATTCAAATTTAGAGACCTTGTTTTCTATTCAAATTTTACTTTGTCTTTCCTTCTCATCCATTTTCTGCCTTTATATACAAACACAGAGGTAGTAGGCTCTGGACTACTGAGTGAGTCAGTCTCAGAAAGTGTAGTCTTCAAACTGTAAAAAGCAGAAACTCAGAAATAAATATGAGCAATAACCTTCAGGTAGTTCTCATGGATGTACTGTAAATTTTACTTTATCTGAGGTTTTAAAAAATCATGTCAAGAGACCAAAAACAAACAAAGGAGACCAAAAACAAACAAACAAACAAACAAACAAACCACCACGCAGTGAGAAGTGAAGTGTGTGCACACTCTAACACCATCATCGACAATCAGAGCACATCAACCCCTGCGCACGTCACTCCGTCTCAGTAAGCTGCAACTGCACTAGCCTAAGTCAGTCAGAGCATACGGCGGGCCGAGGCAAGCTGGGACCCGACAGGAGATGACAGCATCACCTCCACTCTCATACACTAGACCCCAGTGATGTCCAGGTGCTAGGTAATGAGATAAAGGAGAAGAGAGGAAGACGTGAGAATTGGAAGGGCATTGTAAGGTTTATACAAAAAAACTTATGTGAACAAAGGCAACAGACTCAGGATCAAAACCTCAGAAAATCCAGGAACAAAAGACTAATCTAATCTATACAGGCTACTTAATTAGAGGACCTCTGTGTACCTATAAGCACACATATCATTTACATACACACACATAATAATAATGAATATTTTTCTAATTTTCTTATATAGAAATAAGCAGACTATGAAAATACTACGTGTATTGCAAGAAAATTCTGTTTCCTAAGCTAAATATGAAAAGGACAATAAAGTGACATTTCAGAAAACAACCCTCATTTCTCTTCTGTCCTTGTTCAGGAGTGGGGGGATGGGGACTGTTTAGTTGAGTACTAGTGCTTTACCTGCTTGAATGTCTGTGTGCCACAGGCATGCCTTGGAGACCAGAAAAGGGGAGTCACACATAGTTGTGAGCCTCCAAATGGGGTGCTGAGAATGGAACCCAGGTCCTCTGAAAGAGCAGCCAGTGCTTGTAGCCATGACTCATCTCTCACCCCTTCAGGAGAGTTTTACTGTTCTGATTTTTAAGACAAGCTAAGCATGAACTCAGGTCGATCCCTCTGACTCAGCCTCTAGGGACTGTGCTGCTGAGTTTACAGGCCTGAACCATCACACTCAGCTTTGGTACTCGAGTCCTATGATAACTTTCCACAAATAAAATTACCCCAACCTGCCTTGTTAAGGGAGGACGGTTTTTGGGATGAGCCTCAACCCTGGTATCCAACTGAAGATAGCCCTGAGCTTCTGACCCTCATTCCTCTTTCCCAAACTCTGGGATTGGAGATGTACACCACCATACCCAGTATTATAGAGTGCTGAGAACACAGTCCAGGACTTCCTGCAGAGAAGGATGGACGTTATCAACTAAGCTCTATCCCCAGCTTCTTCACATGACGCTTTCCATGTTCCCAGAGCTCTTAGTCCTTTACTTTTCAGTACTGAGATGATCTACCTATTTTCAAAACTAAATCTCTCAGGCCAATACCCAAAAGACTTGACTTCACACAAAAAAACCCAAACACCTACATATAGTATCTTTCCTTTATTTAACATTCTTTTCCATTGTGTGAGTGAGTGTGTGTGTGTGTGTGTGTGTGTGTGTGTGTGTGTAAGAGAGAGAGAGAGAGAGAGAGAGAGAGAGAGAGAGAGAGAGAATACATGCAAGCCTGTATGTACACAGCCATAGCATGTGTGCTGCAGTCTGAAAACAACCTTCAAGAGTAGGTTAGGTTCTCCCCTTCCATGTAGATATCAGAGATCAAGGGATCAAATTCAAGTCATCAGCAGGTGTGGCAGCTATGCCTTTAATCCCATCACTTGGGGGCAGACGCAGGTAGATCTTTGAGTTCCAGAGTAGCTAGAGCTAGAGAGAGACCAAGTCTCAAAGGGAAAAAAAAAATCAAGTCATGTAGTGTTACCTTCTGAGCCACCTCGCCAGCCCTATGGATGGATGAATGAAGAACTATGCAATGAAGAACAAAACTAACATGACAATTCAAGTAAAACAGAGCCTGTCAACATGGAGAAGTCTGTAAAGTCCTAAGAAGTAAGACGTTCATTCTTAGAAGATTCTAAAATTAGCAGTTTTCAGCCTGTGAGTCTCAACTCCTTTGGGGGTCAAATACCAGATATCCTGCATATCACATGTTTATATTATGATTCATAATAGTAGCAAAATTAGTTACAAAGTAGCAACAAAATAAATTTAAGGTTGTGGGTCACCACAATATGAGGAACCGGTCACAGCACCAGGAAGGCTGAGAACCACGCTCTGATTAGTTTGATGTATGTACTTCTAAAACATCAGGTCAGGTAAGCATCTTAAAAACAAAAACAAGGGAGTTGGTTGTAATATTTGTCTCAAATAAGAGAAGCATCCAGCTGAGCGGTGGTGGCGCACGCCTTTGATCCCAGCACTTGGGAGGCAGAGGCAGGCGGATTTCTGAGTTCGAGAGTTCGAGGCTAGCCTGGTCTACAGAGTGAGTTCCAGGACAGCCAGGGCTACACAGAGAAACCCTGTCTCGAAAAACCAAAAAAAAAAAAAGAGAGAGAGAGAGAGAGAGAAGCATCCAGATCAATTTCCAGCACTATTTATTATATTGACATATGATAAAATTTAAATATACTAAAATCAAAATGTAACTTTTCTTGTAACTTACTGTTGAAGTGTGGTCTGTTGCTTTGTACTGTAATGTTAGGTGCAGACACCAAGGTCTGGCTGCCCTGGAAAGGAAAGAGTCTACAGACACACCTAAGTGACACTATGTGACCTTACTCCCAAGTTATTTCTGATGGTAAATAAAGATGCCTACAGCCTATAGCTGGAAAGAACTGAGACAGATGGGGCTTGATGTTCCTGGGCTTAGGGTCAAAGGAGACCTCAAGAAGAGAGAGAATGTAGAGAAAGGAGAAAGATACCATGGGTTAGCAGTCAGGCAAGCATGGCTAGGCGGGCTGGCCAACTGGAGTTAAGAGCACCCCAGATGAAACAGAAGAAGTAATAACTTGGGGTTAGCAATAGGAACTAGATTTTAATAGCATGGAGGGTAGATATCTGCCCAGCCTTAGTGCTAATAAAGGCTTATTATGAATATAAAGGTCGTGTGTCTTTTATCCAGGAATTAAATGATCAAAGTTGGGGGAGAAGCCCTGGATTGAGAGTAAATATTTTCTACAACAATTCAATTTTAATGAAGTATGTAAGATGGCTGGAACATACCCACACGTCCAAAAAAAGTTTGTGGATTTTGGTAGAAAGGATAAGACCCACTAAAGTATTTGTAACACATTTGCAAACTAATAACAAGTAACCCATTGTGTAAAGGTTGTCTATTAACATCTTCTCACATGTAATTATGTATAATATACACACATACATACGTGGAGTCATATAAAACTTAATACAATTTTTACTCATTTTCTTTCTTTTTTAAATCAGGGTCTTCCTATGTAGCCCAAGATACCCTAGAACTCACTGTCCTGTTCATGCCAGCTTGCCACCATGTTCAGGTTACACACACACACACACACCCCTACTTTTTTTTTAGATTTATTAATTTTATATGTATGAATGAGTGTTTTGACACCATTTTTGTATGTGCACACATGTATGCCTGGAGACCAAGGAAGTCAGAACCAGGCATTGGATCTCCTGGGACTAGAGTTACAGACAGTTGTGAGCTGCCATGGAAACTGTATCCTTTAAAAGAGCAGCAAGTGCTGTTAACTACAGAGCCGTCTCTCTAAATGCAGCTCAGTGAAAGTTTTAAGGAAAACCCAAAGGAAATGAGATTCAGGTAGAACAGATTTAGTAAAGTTTCTATTTTCAAATGTCTGTCTGTTACAACTTGTAACATAAAACAAACGTTATAAGGAGAAATGATGAGTGCCAACAGGAGAGAGAGAGGGAGGGAGGGAGGGAGAGAGGGAGGGAGGGAGGGAGGGCGGGAGGGAGGGAGGGTTGCACGCATCCCTACAAGTATACCACCCCTAACAAGGTGACCATTTTCCTGCTCCACAACAGCAATAAACGGCTCCAGTACTGGCCAAGTCCACACAGCAGTCAACACAGATTTGTTCTGCTGGATACTAAAAGCCAACACATGGTACCTACAAAGGCAGGGTCACTTTTTCAAATGAATCACTTTTACTTGTACAATTACCTATATACTACATACTGAGGAGGAAGGAGAGTTTTGATTTTGTTGCTTTTTAATCCCAGAATTATTCTTTTAGACAAGATTCCTACCTGCTTCCTGAGTGAGTGCCACTGTACACTTTTACTTCTATAACCCTCACAGCAACATAAGCAGTAGAAATCATTACCTCCACTACAGTAGTTTCCTTCAAATGTCGGAGTCATCTGAACATTACAAACTAATTTGTATGCCTACTTCACTCTCTGCCTTTATCATTAGTTTCACCCACACACAGTTCAAAATGTCTCCTAATTTTTCCATCTACTTCAAAGTCAATGTTAATATTGTATATCCCTAGAAAACTCTCAATTTGGTAGGATATTTTCATGTATACAGTATCTAGGAATCTAGGCGTCAGTGAAGAACGTAAGAGCTTAAGTATCTTGAGCCACAGACTGTTTCTCTCATCGCATAGGTATGTGTCACTGCACATATCAATAAAGAACAAAACAACTAACAGACTAAGCCAACAGGTCAGCTGAGTAGTCAGGCCCAGGGAGCAGCAGCTCCAGCCTTAAAGCCTAGCTGCAATTCTCAAGCCCTGCCTCAGGGGCTTACACGCTAACCTGGAGTACAGTGAAAGCACAGAGAGAATGCCTGCAGACTTCCATCCCTGGTACTGCACATACAGGCGTGATGGTGCACACCTGACTTCAGAAGACCTGAGTCCACATGGTGATTCACAGCCTCCTCGAACTCCAGTTACAGGGATCACACACCTTGTTCTGATCTCTCCCACCACTAGGCACAGGTACGGTACACATCCATGAAACAGAAACATTCATATACATAGAATAAATTAAAACAATTAAAAAAAAAAAAACAGTAGCCAGGCATGGAGGCAAATGCCCTTTATCCTAGCACTGCAGAGGCAGAGAAAGGTGGGCTACATGACTTGTCGACCAGCCTAGTCTAAAAGAGCTCATGGCTAGCCAAGACTACATAATGAGAGCCTGTCTCAACTTCAAAACAAAACAAACCTTAAATTAATAAATAAAAGTTTAAAAATAAATAAAAGTTACAAGACCACGGGGGCAAGAGAAACAGAAGGATTGAGAACATTAACCAAGCAGTCACCTAATTGGTGATATTTTTTTTTAAGATGTAAAGAACATTACAGAAAAGAAAATTCTAGGTATGGCAGAACTGGCTCAGTGGTTAAGATCATTTGCTGCTCTTCCAAAGGTCCTAGGTTCAGTTCCTAGCACCCACACTGAATGGTCCACAGTCACCTATAACTGAACTGATCTGACACCCTCTTCTGATTACACACAGTATACACTCAGGTACACATACTAAAATAAATAAATCTCTGAATGTAAAATTCTGACTTGTAGAAAAATTTATTATATAAAGAAACAAAAAGGTGGCACACGCCTTTAATCCCAGAACTTGGGAGGCAGAGGCAGGCGGATTTCTGAGTTCGAGGCCAGCCTGGTCTACAGAGTGAGTTCCAGGACAGCCAGAGCTACACAGAGAAATCCTGTCTCGAAGAACAAAAACAAAGAAAAAAGAAAATGGAGACTCCATCTTTACTGTAAGTAATATAAACTAGTTATTATGTTTCATATTTGCTATTACAGGGTGTTTTCCCCTTGTGAATATAAATGTTGATCCACACCCAAATTTACTATGAAATATATCCAAGTCAAAGGTTTGATTAGCAACTGTTCACAGTCTATTAACCATCTAATTTAACAGACTAGCCAATGCCTTCCCAGCTGCCTAATGCCAACATCACTGATTCAGACATTCCTAAGTAAATTTGAGATTGTTTTTATTTCTATTGTAACATACGTTGTTTTTATATGATTTATTATGTTACTGCCCAACATACTACACCAAAATTCTTCCTACTCTTCCCCGTGTACAAACAATAACAAAATATAGTTTAATAGGGAAACAAGAAACAAAGAGGATGCTTTGGGATTTTTTTTAAAAAACCAAAAAGGATACCCTTAAGCAAGTAAGAAATAGAATAATATAGCACCCCTTCTGGTTTGGCTCAGATTAAGTGTTCCCTCTCAGTCCTGTTCTATGGTGAGTAGTTATACTCCAGTATCTGAAGAAGCGGTGTAACCATCCCTACCGTTGCAAAATTACTTTAGCCTTTTATTTCAAATTATATAAACATGGTTAAAAACTAATAATGTACACATTAAATTATATAACTTGTTTTTAAAATAATTTATGTTTGTGAAGCTTAACCATGAAAGCCCTAATAGTTCTTGAAACACATACACCAAAGCAGGCTACCATGCAGATACAGTTCCCCAACATGGATTTACGCTTCCCTTCTACAGCAGTCTTACTCTTAGTAAAGATCGGAATCAAATAGCATTTCTTATTTTAACAGCTTGGCTAGTAAGCATGCTGAACAGAATACAATGTAGAAACATTCACTGAATATAACTTACTTTTCAGTGAAATCTTTACATCTCCATTTTCTTTCTTGATCTCACTCATTACTTTATGCTTCTTTCTCTCTCTCTCTTTTTCTTTGTCTTTGTCTTTAATTTTGTCTTTGATTTTATCTGAAAGACAAAAAATATTTTAAAATGTTACAATATTTTTTTCTCCATAAACTTTAATTCAATTTCTAGAGGTATAAAATACAAAAGCAAGTTGAGTTTGGTGGTGCATGCCTTTGACTCCAGCAGAAAGGAAAGCTGAGGCAAGCATATCTCAATGAGCTGGAAGCCAGTCTAGTCTACACAGCAAGTTCCAGGGTAACCAAGAGCAACAAGATGATACCTGGTCTCAAAAACAAAATAAAACAAACAAACAAAAAACAAAAAAACAAAAAAACTCCCACCAAAATCGAAAACAAAATAAACACAGTACATCCAAAAACCATGACTTGAGGGAAAAAAAAGCCTGTTTTTTTTTTCTTGGTTATGCCTCAGATTTTCTACATTTCTTCTTTTATTGAACATACAATATATATCAAAATTTATCATGCACATTTAATTTCAATGATTATTGTTCATTCATTTTATGTCAACCAAAATATAGGATTAATTTCAAATCACATAAAATAATTGGCTAAACTGGAATGGATAAGTATTCTGAAGAGTTATAGCTGTAAAACTGAGCACATTCCTATTGTGAACAAACTTCCACACGTGAGAAGGTGCTGGATGCCATCCTCACAAGACCACCATCAGAATTATATGAAGGCACAATGAGGACACAACACTAGAGACTGAGCTCCCTTACCTTCCAGGTTTTAAGAAGAACACGACTAACATAGCTAGCTAGTGTTTCTGTGACAGTAAATTATGGGGCTGAAGGACTCATTGGTGGAGTGCCACAGTGGTGGCACAGGCCTTTAATCCCAGCACTCAGGAGACAGAGGCAGGGAAATCTGAGTGTGAGGCCAGCCTGATCTATAGAGTGAGTTCCAAGATGGCCAGGGCTACACAGAGAAACCCTGTTTTGAAAATCAAAAACAACCAAACAAATCCATAGATTTATATCCTAAAAATTCAAACAGTTTTATGAAATGCATACTATCTTGTTGTTCTTGTTTGGTCATTCAATTTCCTATGACTCTAGCCAAGAGTAAATATACACAAAATGAAAACAAAATAATACTGCCCTTGCCTGCAAAACCTTGTTGCTGTTGTTGTTACAAAGGTATAACAGAAGCACACAACCTTGTAAAATGGAGTGTACGCAATGTATATGGATACTGCAGAATCCCTTAAAAATGCCTCCTCCTTTCTTTTAGTAAGCGGTCTCCTAATCCAGGCTACAGTCATGATAACTACATGACGGTCTCAACTTGAACTTACCAACAGAAACATAATACCATCTGCAAATTTGCATTTTTCAACAGCCACCTTAAAAGAAGTACAGGTGAAATTACTTTTAGTAACATATTTTATTTAACCCACTATATCTAAAACATCATTTCAGGCTGGAGAGATGGCTCAGTGGTTAAGAACACCAACTGCTCTTCCAGAGGTCCTGAGTTCAATTCCCAGCAACCACATGGTGGCTCACAACCATCTGTAATGGAGTCTGGTGCCCTCTTCTGGTGTGTCTGAAGAGAGCAATGGTGGTGTACTCATATGCATAAAATAAAAAAATTTTAAAAAAACACATCATTTCAACATGGAGTTTTTAAATTACTGAAATATTTTACATTTATACCTCTCACTGTCTCTCATCTCTGTCTGTCTCTGTCTATCCGTGTGTGGGGGTGGGGGTGAGAGATAGAGAGAGTGGGGCACATATCACAGCATGCATGTGGAAGTCAGAAGACAATTTAACAGAGTCAGTTCATTCCTTGAACTTTTACAGGAATTCCAGAGATTAAACTCAAGCTGTCAAGCTTATGCAACAAGTGCCTTAGCCTGCTGGGCTGTCTCACCAGCACTGAAATCTGAAAACCCAACTGCCTCCATTAAATTACATTTAATCCTGTACCATGAACAGCTGTGATAACGTGAGGTTGTTCCATGCTCCAAAGACACGCTTAAGGTCAGGCACTGCAAGCTTGGTAACTAACAGGCCTTCAGATCCCTAGTCTCGGCTGTACGTTTTCCATGTAGTCATGTCTCCATCTCTTCATAACAAAGGGCTGAAAAGACTGGCTCTTTACCAGTTTTGATTCATTTATTTTCATGACCAAGAATTTAGCCAGTTGTAGTGGCTGGCTCATGTCTCTAATCCCAGCACATGAAAGGCAAATACTGGCAGGGCTCTGTGATTTTGAGGCCAGCCTGGTCTACACAGTGAGTTCCAGGACAGCCAGAGCTACTTAGTGAGAACATGACTCAAAAAAAGTAGTTTTATCCTTCATAGTCTCACCTAAAGCTTAGAATAAACTTTCTAACTTGTCTCTCATCACACCTCTTGGAATGACAGTAGCAATTATTCTACTATATGAACAACACACAGTTTGAAAAGTCAAACTTTCCATAAGTACAATTTTATTTAGAAAGTGTTAAAAGGTATCAAGACATTTATTGGCAATAATAACAACAAAAAAATCCGAAGAATAAAACTGGGTGTTCAGAACAAGCCCCCTTACAGGCAGCTCATTTTTGACAATGGAGGGAAAAGAATCTTTTCAACAGACAGCACTACACCTGGATAGTCACAGTCAAAACAATGGAACTCCTGAGACTCCTAAGGCATCCTAGAGGACCCATATGGTGTATGTGGGGGTGGGAGAGATACTGCACAAAGGTACAGTGTGTCAAGGGAAAGAATTGATAGGCTAGATTCATTAACATTCTTTAACAGACACTATCAAGAGAATAGAAAGGCAAACCACAGAAGGGAAATAATCTGATTAACTACTACTATTCAATGTAGACTCTTCTTACAATTCAACAAAAAATGCCAGATTTTAAAACAGGTCAAAGACTTCCCCATAAAAACTGTACAGAAGACAAATAAGCATGCACGCAAAGGTGTGCGTCACACAGTCTGTCACTGGGACTATAAGTCACAGCATGTCACCATATGACTGTAAAATTGGCCAAAACCCATAACACTGTCAGCACCATTAAATACTAGTAAGCACATGGAACAGGAATTCTCATTCGTTGCTAATGGGAATGCGAAACACTACCCTAGAAGACTGTTTTCTTACTACACTACACCACTTTTATAAAATTCAATATATTTCATTGCTTAGTTTTATCCAAAAGAGCTAAAAACTTAGTTTCACACAACAATACATACATAAATAGTTATACTAGGTTCATTCATAATTATCCAAAACCAGAAGGAAGCAAACAAGATATTCTTCAGTGGATGAATGTAAACTCTGGTACATCCAAACAATGGGATATTCTTCAGCACTAAAAGGAGACGGGAGCTATCAAGCCATGCAAAGACATAGGAAAATTTACATGAGTATTACCTAACTGAAAGAGAACAGTGTAAAATACCACATACAACATGACTTCAACAACACAGCATTCTAGAAAAGCCTGGAGCCTGACTGTCAACCATTCTAGAAAAATTAGCAAGCCTTAGGCTCCAATGAGAAAATCTGTCCCATGAAAATAAAAAATAGTTTTAAAAAAAGTGAGGGCCACCAAGATGGCTAACCTGTAAAGCACCTAACCACATGGACCCCAAATGAAAATGGGAAGTGAGAACCAACTCCAAAGTTGTCCCTTACCTCCACACAGAACTACGGCATGCATGTGCACGCACTAACAAAAAGAATAAAATGTGGTGTCCCGAGGAATGACACTCAAATTGATGTCTGGCCTCCCCATGTATGCACACAAAATAAACAACAACAAAAAATGCTTAGAACACAAGTAGAAACTAGGTAAAAATCTTCCTGAAATAGTACACGAAAACAGAGAGGCTATCATATGTATATGTATGCATATATGTACATATATGTATGTGTGTATGTGTATATATATAGAGAGAGTACATACACACATTGTACATATATATACAAGTATCCATCCACATAATCAGATTTTTAAAACAAGGTAACTTTATATATACACGTAAATATATAGTATATACTTGTATATAATATGTAATCTAGTTATATACATATACTATTATATATTATATATGATATATAATATACATTATATCATGTATAAATATATTTTTAAAGTGTTGATTTCCAACTTGTCCTCTGCTAAACAGTGGTGTGATCATTCAGGCACTCAAGAATTCAAACAATGAACTCTGCTCAAGAAAATAAAGTAGTAAACAAAAAGGAAAGTAAGGCGGGACAAGTGGTAGTAGTTCACACCTCTAATCCCAGCACCTGGGCGGTAGGCAGATGGAGCTCTGAGAGTTCAAAACCAGCCTAGTCTACAAAGTGAGTTCCAGGACAGCAAGGGCTAAAGGAGAAATTCTGCCTCAATAAATAAATGAATTAATTAAAATAATAAAGTAAATAAAGTAGAGGACATACACACATGGCTCAGAAGGCAGCCAATCTATGTTAAGTTCAAACGGGATAACAGCAAAACAGGACTCCCAAGAACAGTACACAGGACCAATGCAGCCCTATGGAAGCGAATCTTTGATCTGGGTAAGTTACAGCTGCAAATGCATTATAAGCATTATAGGCAGTGGTTATTTTACTAAGATATGGGAAATGATTAGAAATAAACTGAGTTAGGGGGTGGGGACATACTACAACTGATAAAGTGCTTCCTCAAAACACACAAAACCCTGTATCAATCCCCAGCATAGGTAAACCACATATGGTGGCTCCCATCAGTAATCCCAGCACCAAGGAGGTGGAGACAGGAGGATCACAGCTTCAAAATTACTCTATCTCATGACCCACACAATTAGTAAAAAGGAAGTTCTTTTAACAGCTTTACTAGTTGCTGGAGAAATGGCTCAACAATAAGAGAACTTATTGCCCTTTCAAAGGACCAAAGCTCAAATTCCCAGTACCCACAAGGTAACTCACAACAATCTGTAACCCCAGTTCCAGAGAATCCCACAAGCATGCACATGGTATACATATGTGCATGCAGGGAAAATATTCATACATATAAAGTAAAATACTTAGATCCAAAAG